TGTGGAAGTAGTTAAAGTCCAAAAAGTGTACGGAAGCAACTTGAAGATGAAGAATAATAATAAAGAATAAAGAGAAACAGGAAAACAATAGTGTGGATGCTTACAGCATCCACACAATTATGCAGAAGTGAAAGCAGGTGGTCAGGTATAAAGCAGTCTGATGCAAACCATGTGACTTCTTAAACTCACAAGGGAGATAAACCCCCCCCCCCAAAAAAAAACTTCACAAAAGAATATTTGTCCCATGACAATCACTTCTCAATTCAATAGCCACATTTTATCACTTCATAGGGGGTTTCCTATTGGTGGGAAAAAAATTGAAAGACTTCCTCAAGTAGCTAGAACTTCTGTTAAAAAAAAGAAATGACATTCGATTTCAGTACTAGTTTCAGGAATGCTCTCAATCGGTAACATGTAAAAATTCAAACACCACAGTGAGTTCACAATTACTTTATTAGGTGAATGAAATCAAAACGGCACGATTTAAAAAGACTGAATATGAAATAAGTTGCCTAAAGTGATTTGACTTTAACAAAAGCAACACGATGTAAAGCCCTTGACTTTACGGATTGTAAAGATTACATAAAGTAATAACAATCAATAAAATGTTTGTCAATCAAAAGTGTTTTGTTAAAACTTACTGGACATCCAGTGGAAACCACCACACCCACAGAAAGATTACAAGTAAAGCAGAGTTTAGACAAAGTGCCTTCTGGTGGGAGAGCACTTTTAATGCTTTGGCTTAAGTTTGAACTTCACACTGTCCTTGAAACAGGAACGTAACATCCCTTACACAAAGTGTCATTCTATCCTTTCATGGCAGCAACAGCAACGTAATCACTATACGGTGTTTTTATCTGAAATGTATCATCACAGACTCAGGTGTTGAATTATCCACAGAGCGATATTCATAAAGCCATCTGATTCAGCATCCACCTTGGAAAGAGAGTGGTTGCTCCCTGGGTACCACAGTAACCTAAGCAACACAAACCAGAGCATTACTGAATGAACAACAGACAAAAATAAGACTCCAGTTATCCCGTCTATATCAGGCATAAGCAATAAAACACGTTACTCAGGACGCCGCTTACCGAACTGGAACCTGCTTTGCTTTGAGTGCTTTGTAATATTCGACTCCTTGCTTGTTAGGTACACGCTTGTCATCTTCTCCTATGGTCAGCAGTACTGGCGTCTTTACCTAGATCAGAAAACACCTTTCATGCTTCATTGTCCAACAACACTTACAAAGACATATCCACAAACCCAAGAGATTTTCAAGGTTATACCTGTGCAACATGCCTAATAGGGGACTTATTCAGCATCTGCTCCCAAACAGCAGGGTCAGGCAGACAGTCTGTACTGTAGTTATAGCCAGCCTCAACCATGCACCTGCAGAAAAAAAAGGAACACAAATTGACTGCTTGACTGCGCCATTTTCTGTTCCTCTTGTATTTGTGTACATTTTGAACACTTCCCTCCGAGCTGATATCATTACAAGCTATAAATTGTAACGATATTTTGTTAATGTTCATTTGTAATCTTGGCATGATGTGAAAAATGTCCGATCTGGAAGTTCAAAAGTACTTCCTCTGTTGTGTTAGATTAGTGTAATGTAAGCTGTTGGCATTTTCATGTGACACTAATATGAGAGATCTTTGAAAACATACTGATCCCCCTTTTTTCCTTGCTCCATGTTTGCAATATGTCAAAGGATATTAGATTTGCTATAAGTGCACTTTTATTTAATTGGATTTACAATTACAGGATCAGTCCCCAGTAATTTTTCAATGTCTTTGGCTTTATTGCCCATTCTTACTTCCAGCTGTGGTAACTGAATAGAAGGAGTGTCGCTGCTAAAATGCCACAGTTATGCGGTTGCGTATGAGTTCCCTAAAAATATGCATAAACAAATGTGGGCAAAAGTGTGAGAATATGCATGACAAGACCTACCAGTCTGGTATGTCTGTGCTGCCAATCATGGAGGCCAAGTTGATAACAGGGTTGCGAGCCACACAAGCCTTGTAGAATTCTGGGTACTGTCCGATCAGATGACAGGCCAGGAAACCCCCGTGAGAGCCTCCACAAACGGCCACTTTCTGCACGTCGAGGTCGTTACTTTTCAGCACACTTTCAACTGCAAACTGGTGGCGACAAAAGCAGAGAACAAATGTAAAACATTTCAAAGACACATGGACCAA